CATGACTAAAGCACTCCATGTTGAGGTCAACCGAAAAATCATCCTAAGTTCGTTAAGGAGTTGCTTTCAACCAACTCAATCGCGGAAAATTATATGTGCTGTTATGAAGAAGATGGAGGTTAGGGACATTTCTGGTTGTGGAATCAAATATCTATAAGCTACTTAAAATGCCGGAGTAGGAGTAGAGTTAATATGAATCAAGTCCCGGGAAGAATGTCCATCGAAAATCCTACTAGGAATTCCTATCATCGTTGGCTTCCAAATTTTAAAAGCCCGGGAAATCAAGTGACAAAAGGAGCTTAATTTAATCTGACATCCATACAAGCTCCTTAGGCATCAAATTCCTACTGTGCTCCCCAAAATATGCTTGATTAAATCACTATACCACATTATATTTTCGATAGTGACTGCGGGATATGTTCCAATGTTTCTTGTGACTGTGTGAGATATGTTCCACCTTTACTATAGGAAGATATTTTGTAACGAGTGAGTGGTGTTGCTCTTTTTTTTCCTCCTAATGATGTAATTTAAAATCTATGATTCGAGCGCTGAGTTAATAAGCTCGATCTAAGATTCTATACTTCAAGAATCATAAATGCTGGTCATATACAAAAAGTGACTATTGGATAAAGCGATTGAGTGGTGTTGCTTGGTACGATTTGAGAATCATTTTATAAAGAGAAATGACCATATTTACTCTGATTTCATTAGTTCATGGCAAGTATGTGGAAAGTTAATACTTTGTCCGGAAATGGACCAGACCACATCAGTCTACTTCGGTCCCGTCCCGTTACTAAAGTAAAATATAGTAGGGAAGCGCTCATCCTTATTATAGCCAATAAATGGTATCAGCTTCGAGAAGAGTCCGTAACGAGATTAAACTGCTTTGATCTTATACACTCTGATGTTTGGACCGCCTCTTCAACCGGCCCACACTAACTATCTATTACTCCCACTGTCCCTCCAGCCGACGGTCAATTTGATCTAACCGTTCAGCTTTGTACAATGTCAATATCCCGGGACGTATATTCAAATTCTTTTCGTATATTTGTATGTCATGAGGGGGAGTGAGGACAAATCTGACATGGATAAGATTCTAGATTTGGTTTTTGGGTTTATATGTGACATTTGGCTTATTAACAATGTCGCCAAAGCTCATGGTTTTTAAGTAGTTTGCACGATGGTGCTCCAGATTTGGTTTATTAATTGGTTTCTTCTGATCTGGTAAACAGGTGGTTTCTCCGTGTTTGCTGGTGTGGGAGAACGAACTCATGAAGGCAATGACTTGTACAAAGAAATGATTGAGAGTGGTGTCATCAAGCTAGGCGAGAAGCAGGTTTAAAAATTAATTTGGATTCATCTTTTTTTTTTTTTTTGGCATTTGACTGATATTTGTTTTCTCTGTTCTCTTTGCTTTCCCATATTAACAGTCTGAGAGCAAATGTGCATATTTGTTTGCGTTTTTGAGCCGCCCATGGAATTTACAAAAGAAAACAATCACGTTTGTCTTCCCAAATCAGAGCTTCTGTATAAGGGACTTAAAGTTTAAAAAGTTCCAGATTGTATAACAAAATATCTGCTTCATCACGCTCCGAAAAATCAGACCCAGGTACGTTTCTACTTCGTTATTGATTTTTACGGATACTAGAGAAGAGCTAAATTATTCTAGCTTTACAAACATAACACACAGGTTATGAAGTCAGTCGGCCATGCTTAAACAATAACATTTTGAGCAGCAGCAGCACTCAAGTTGTAAATGTCCCAAAAAGGTATCACTTAGGTACACACCACTGAGGATAGTGTAGAATTTGATGGTTCTCGCATCCGTATCATAAAATTGACGTCTAACTATGTAGATGCTTTGAGCAAGATGACCTGAAGGAACATGATGTGGTTGCGCAAATCCAAGCTTCTTACATGCAACATGAAAGTTGATTTGTGTTTCCAAAACAAAAAACAAATTCTCTTCATCCAGACCCCCGTTCCTTGCACACACCTCAGTGAGAATTTTGTAATGAAGCTGGTGAGTTTAAAACTGCATTTCTCTGTCGCTCCGCTTCATCTCTATCTGAAAAAAATAAATGTTTCCCCAACCTTCTATCAGCTTCATTACAAAATTCTCACTGAGGTGTGTGATGAAACTAGGGTTTTGATTATCTGAGTCTGGACTTCCTAAATCTTTGTTTATATTGAGAGCCTGAAGCATGCAAAAAATCACCGTTAACGATCTGTGTGCACCTGGTAATACTCCAGATCGTTGTGTTCCACATTAAGCAGAGTTTAGCTTCTCTTATGTAGTTTTCTATATATAGTTCATCAAAATAATTGTTTTTGATATGCAGTTTTCCACAAACATATCCCGGGACTTGTTCGTTTGTATGTCATGAGGGGGAGATGAATATGGAACAACTGGTGACACAAACAAGGTAACTGTGTAAACTATCTATTACTCCCACTGTCCCCCGCATGACCATCATGAGCAGATGTGCCCACCAAACCTACAAGTCCGCCTGGTATGGTACTGATGTGGTCTGGTCCATTTCCGGATATGTCCCAACCACCATCTTCATTTCTTAAACTCTAGCTATAAAGTCTATAAAGGTAGACCAATAAGTTCCAAAAGAAGGAAACCTCGGAAAGGATATGAAAGGATTAAATTCGCAGGTATGAGAGGCAAGTTATCATGCTCTAAAACATGCTTATGAAGCTNTACCTTCTGCTTCTTGCTCTTCCATGTAACCAGGTTCCCACCAATGAATGTGCAATAGCCGGTTGTTGATCTTCTATCAGCTCTATCTCTTATGTTTTGTTTGCATTCACACGTGCCTGGAAAGAACCTGTTGTTAAAAATGAACCAAAAACTCTTGGAGCTAAAATCGAGTTTGATTTTTCTAAACTCACTCTTACAAAAGGTTGATTG